TATCATTAAACCACTCCTTTGTATAGTATGCAGTATGTGCAGTAGCGCAATCTTGTTGAAGTTTCCATGGTTTATCATTGAGCATAAGCAAGTCAATTGATGGAATTAGGTTGTTTTCCAGTACTTCTACTATATTCTGGAGTTGATTGTTCCGATGTATGTTTGGCACATACCAACACCTTTGTAATTGAAGCATGACCAGATTGTTATCGAGCCTCCTCCATTTTGTACAGTCGGTCTAATATACTTGGCGTAATACTTTTCGTGAACTATTCTTTTGATTGTTATGTTAGATTTGTGATTGATAAGCTCAAAGTTACTCTCATCACTCCACATGTTTTTCCATTGTTCTATTGTCCAATACCTTCTTTCACAACACCGTTTTAGTCTTCTTTGTTTATCATATGGATGCAGGAGCGGTTTCTTCAAAGCAGAGTAGACTCCAATCTTATATTTGATAAGTATTCAGCGGACTGTGCTTTGAGAAATAGATGTATTTCGTGTTGTATTAATTAATTGATTAGCTCTGACAGCTCTAAAAAGGACACTATCGTTCTTTGGTGGTTGACAGAGGTCTACCTGGCCTCATTTTGCTGGCACCACCAGTGTGAAGATTATTTTGCTTCATTGTCGGAACACATTTCTCAGAAACTCTAATTAACCTGGCGATTTCTCAATTACTTTTGGTTCCTTCTTTGATGTGAGCAATAGTTTGCCATTTTTCACCTTGAGTGGTATCTCTTTTGCCCATTTTTTGCGTCTTTTTAGTTCAAAACTAACTTAACTTTTGTTTATTTATTAAATAATGATTAACTATTTCCAGGTAAGTCATATTTATGTAAAGTTTTTTGACAAAATCAATTAATTTAGGCCTTTTAATGAGAAATATGGGAAAAAGCTACTAATTAACTATCAATTAACAAGATATAGGTTGTTTTTTTTATTGTGCATTGAAATTTATGAATAAAATCAAGCTTATCAATTAACTTTTTTGTGTTAATTGATATAGAATGAGTAATAAATATCCTGTAAAAAAAATTAAAGTACTCTATAATAGAGTTTCACTTCCTCTATTAAATTATATATCAAACATAGCGGTAGCACTTTTATTTTATTTTTAAGTTTACTTAAAAAAACGAACTTACTTTGCTTAAAACTTTTTTACATATATGTAAAAAAAAATTAGTGTGTCTATATTTATGCTACTGTGTATATATATATATATATATATATATATATATATATATATATATATATATATATATATATATATATATATATATATATATATATATATATATATATATATAGTATATATATATATATATATATATATATATATACATATACATCAGGCCTTGTGATGAATAAAAACTGTGCGACGCATAAGCTCGACGTGATTTTTGACGTCATTAAATTCTTTTTATTTACTTTTCATATTTATCGACATTAACTGCACCAATTTACTTAATTACCGCAAAACTACTTTAAATCATCAATGTAGAAATGTTATTATTTAAAAATGTTTTGGAATTTTCGTTTTTACGTTTATTTTCTTGACGTTTGACCGCTTTGTCTATACTTATCGAATAAAAAACGTAACTAAACATTTAAAAAAGATTATAAAATATGCTAATATTTGATTTTTTTTTTCTCAAATACGTATTTTAAAGTTTTTCAAATAATTATTTTTTCTTTTTAAAAAGTCAGCGAGTAATAAACTGGAAGTTTTAATATTGTTTTAATACAAAAAAGCGATTGTTATTATTTAAGTAATTTTTTTTTAGTTACTTTTTACAAAAATTTTAATAACTGTACTATTTTATTGAATCAAGTAGAATACGTTTTAATATTAATCCATTTATTTTTTTTTATTTGCGCTTACCAACTTTTAAAAAGTTTCCTTGGAATTACTCTTAAATACTTTAAATATGTCTAACAGTTAATAAACATTTTTAAATCTATGGAATAGTTTTAAAACCTAACAAACACCCGTAAAATAATTATTTAATTTAAAAATCTAAAACCTAAAGAAAGTATTTTTGTTTAATTTTATCGACAGTTTTGCTATTGCTGAATAATTTTATTAAAATGTTAGCTTAAAAAGATTCAAACTTTTTTTTTAATCTGAATTTTTTCTACTTGTAAATAATGAGCATATTTATTTTTTTTGTAATTCAAACTTTTATATCAACTGCGTGCGGGTTTTAAAATACTTTATTAAATCTTAAAATAATCGTAAATTACTTCATTAAAATTCTGCTAAAAGATATCTTTAAATATACTCAAACAAAAAATATTTTGCTCGACGCAAATAGCCCTAGCTACACGCAAAATCGCTCTTGGACAACGTAAAATTCACATCGCCCGACGCTTTATCGCAAGGCCTGATATATATATATACATATATATATATATATATATATATATATATATATATATATATATATATATATATATATATATATTTATATATTTATATTTATACATATATATATATATATATATATACATATATATATATATATATGTAATCTTTTTTAAATGTTTAGTTACGTTTTTTATTCGATAAGTATAGACAAAGCGGTCAAACGTCATATTTTTTTTTATGCAGAATGTGTTTTTGTGTTTTTTTCATTATTTTTTAATTTTTCAATTTTTTTTTGTTTTGTTAATTTTTTAGTCTACATACATTGACTGAAATAAATAGAACATGCAAGGATTGCTGTGATGTCAACTCAGAGTTTTGACTAGGGCAGGCAATCTTTTTATTTTGTAAAAGTTTCTGGCATTTTTTTTTTTTTATCTCAACAAGATATGGTAAAACTTTTGTCCAACCTCTGCACAATCTCTGGTTGTGTATATTGTTATTATACCAGGCTTGGTCGGGAATTCGCTCTCGAATACTGACCACGGAAATTATATTTAGTTGCGTAAAACTGGCCAGGTTTTTCAGTCGTTTTGAGAACATTTAAGTTTATGTATGAAATAAAAAAATTTTAAGAATAAAAAGAATATTTGCAAACACAAAAAACCCGCCAAATTAACGAACAAACTAATTCTATTGGTTCAAAAAATACGCTGGTTAAGCGAAATAAAGTTCTAGAGTATTCTGTTGAAATGTTTTAGAATTTGTATTATTCACGATTTGTTACGTTTTGAGATTTCTAGCATAAATTGTTTTAAAAATATTTATTATTTGTTTACAAAAATAAATGTTTTAAATATATATTAATTAAGTTATCAAAATTTTAAAAGTTTATTATAAATCATAGATTTTACTAGTATATTCTTATTTTTTATTTTAAAAGAGATTGTATTCTTTATGTAAATGTAATTTTGTGTATTTGTTTTTTATTGTAATGTATCTTTTAAAGCAATTTTCATGATTTAAACAAAGACTTACAAAAATAATTGCGTTTTCAATGAAGTTATAATCGTTAAAGTTAATAAAACTAATTATGTAACAAACATATAAGAAGTTTCTGGTTACTAAACACAAACAACGCATACAAAGTAAGTCGCGGATGAACAAGCATGAGGTCACAACAGAACACAAATATATATAGCAAATAATTAGATTTAAAGAAAAGTTTCTAGATATAGGTTTACTAACTCTAATTATTTTCGCTTAAATTGCCATTCTTAAAACTCGTTATACTTTTTGCTGCTTTAAATACTAATTAAAATTTAAAAGCCCACTCACTAAACATCATCAGCGATATTGTGAAGCAGTTTCGCTTCCTGGTCATTAAGTATTTTTAACCTTTTTAGTTGATTTCTATCATGATAATTTAATTCCTATAGTAATTCAATGATTTTATTATTTCATTTGTTTATCTTACTAAGAAGAATCGCTTTAAATATGTTAAACTTTTCAAACTACGCGAAACATAAAATAGGTATTAAAAAAATTAACTTTTTTATTTATAAAATAAATTAAGCTTAAGTAAAACTAAAACTTGCAAACTTAGTTAAATAAAGAATATTTGTTTCCCTTTTAAACAATCGTAAGTTGTTACTTAATTTTATAAAAAAAATTGTAAAAGAGCGATGTTTCGAAAATATTTGTTCTAAATGTAATTTATTTAGCTTTAAGTTTTTTGGCGTTTAAAGATATTCTATTTGCCTATTTTTTTTTTTTTTTGTAAATGTCTCTCATCAGTCCAATTAATCTTTGTCGCTTTTTTTTTTTTTTGCTTTTTAAAATGTTCTCAAAACGGCTAAAAAATCTGGCCAGCTTTTCGCAACTAAATATTATTTACGTGGTCAGCAATCGAGAGCGATCGCTCCCGCTTCCCGACCAAGCCTGTTATACTATATTTATAATATTATATATATATATATATATATAAATATATATATATATATATATATATATATATATATAAATATATATATATGTATATATATATATATATATATATATATATATATATATATATATATATATATATATATATATAAATATATATATATGTGTATATATATATATATATATATATATGTGTATATATATATATATATATATATTTATATATGTATATATTATATATATATATATATATATATATATGTGTGTGTGTGTATATATATATATATATATATATATATATATATATATATATATATATATATATATATATATATATATATATATATATATATATATATATATATATATATATATATATATATATATATATATATATATATGCGATATTGAGATATTTTCTTACAAAATATTATTGACCTGATACCAAGCTCTAACAGTTTAAGGTCAGCAATTTATTGACAACCTCATTTTTTCTAATTCTGAGGCTGATATTAAAATATATAAATGATATTGAAAATACCACCATGTAGATAATTGAAAGTTTTAACTTTAATCCATTTATTATAAACATCTGTATTTAAATTATTTTCTTGAACTTAAAAATTTTTATGTTCTTTTTGATTTGACTTTTTATAAATTAGAATGATGGCCTTATTTTTTCTAGCTTGACATTTATTATGAGCCACCAGAGACAGAAGAAGTTCTAGTTGGTAGTCAACCATCTGTTTTGTTTGATTTTATTTCAGAAATGCGAAAATCAGTTACTTCAAAATGTTCTGGCCTTTTGGTAATTTGTTAATTTATTTATTAACTGAAATAGTCAATTTTATTTGTTTAATATACTTTTAATATTATTGAAGATTTATATTCAAATTAGTTTTATATTTTTAATAATCCCAAGTTACATACTTTGAATCGATCAGTTTGTATATAGACCAAATGCTTCGATAATGTCTGGATGAGAACATTATCAAGGCATTTTATTTATATAATTTATTTTATCTGAAAAGTTTAAAATTAAATCTGCATTTAATTTAGACAACACATGAAAAGATTGGCTCCGTTATTTCATTCACTGATGCTTTTTTAAGAGGTAATTTTTAATTTATATAGTATATTTATATGTTGTAAAAAGATAACTGTATAAATAAATAACTAATAACAGTTATCTTTTTACTACATATAAATATAATCTTTTTACTACATATAAGTATATATATAACTAAATATGTTTATTACATATAGTTGCTGTACATGGTTTTTATTGTAAAAATAAATCTTATTATATTAGTGCTTGCTAAAAAATTTTGGTAACTAACAGAATATATTTTTTGGTAACTAACAGAATATATTTTTTGGTGACTAACAGAATATATTTTATAATGTGAACTTGTTTTTACAAACATCAATAATTAAAGCCTTGTTTGTTCTGTTGCAATGGAATTTCAAAATGCTTTTGGATTGTTGGAAATTATCTCCAAAATGTTAAATTTAAATTTAAAGTAAATAAAAAAGTTGCAAATTTTTCTATTAAGATCACTTTGATTGTTTATAGCACAGATTTTACGTTAATTATATTTTCCGTGAAAATCACAGACAAATAGCTCAAGTTTTTGCTATTTTCCATGAAATGATGTAACTCAAATGTCACATGAGGTTTTAATAATTACCTAATAATATTGAGAATGTGCATTTCAATGTGTTTGCGTAACACTATGGGTGTTGTGTTACATTTGCGCTTTGGAGGTTGGGTTTGCTTCCCACTATTTCTTTTTTTTATTTTATGTTTTATCTTGAAGTGAAGGTTGTTTTATGTGTAGTACTCATGATTTTTGTATATTACTTAAATTTATTCATTGTTTTTATCTTTCAAAGTCTAATAGAAGAAGCGTAAATTTAACAACTAACTTATAGAGATTGACACAATGGATTGTACACACATTAACTGATTTAACTAGCCATAGATGTAGTGGAGTGTACAATGTACACACCACTACACCAGTCAATGTTTTTACACTGTACATACATCGACTGATTTAAGTAGCCATAGGTGCTGTAGAGTGTACTGTACATTGACTTAAGGTTTTGGTTTGGGTAGACGATCTATTTAGTTCTTTTTTATTTATTTAGGTCTAAAGGATTTTTCCAATACATATAAAAAATATATAAAAGTTTATAAAAAATCCATGTTATAGCTCTTGTAAATCAATTTTTTTATACAATAATATTAGTTTTTATTATGAATAATCAATATTTAGTTAATTAAGCTGTTAACTAGTTAATAAATAATAATATTAATAACCGTTTATTAACAAATTTTCATTAAAAATAGCAAAAATCATTTCTTAACATCTGTGAATTTTTACTGAAAATAACAAAAATCATTACTTAATTTCTGTGAATTTTCATGGAAAATAACACTAAGCCAGATTGTTTTTGGATTTATTTTTATCTTACAAAAAAGATGTTGTAATATTTATATATATATATATATATATATATATATATATATATATATATATATATATATATATATATATATATATATATATATATATATATATATATATATATATATATATATATATATATATAAATTTATATATACATATATATATATATATATATATAAAATTATATATACATATATATATATATATATATATATATATATATATATATATATATATATATATATATATATATATATATATATATATAGTATATATATATATCAGGCCTTGTGATGAATAAAAACTGCGTGACACATAGGCACGATGTGATTTTTGACGTCATTAAGTTCTTTTGATTTGCTTTTCATATTTATCGACATTAACTGCACCAATTTACTTAATTACTGCAAAACTACTTTAAATCATTAATGTAGAAATGTTATTATTTAAAAATGTTCTGGAATGTTTCGTTTTTTAAAATGTAAAAACATTTGTTTATTTTCTCAACATTTGACAAGTTTTGTCTATACTAAACGAATAAAAAACATTATAACTAAACATTTAAAAAAGATTATAAAATATGCTAATATTTGATTTTTTTTTTCTCAATTATGTAATTTAAAGTTTTTCAAATGATTTTTTTTCTTTTTAAAAAGTCAGCGAGTAATAAACTGGAATTTTTAATATTGTACGATTAAAAACTGTGCAATAGCTAATATTTTTACCAGCGATTTTATATAATATTTTTTATATATTTATTTTTATTTATTTTCCTAAAGCGGTTGATAAGCACACTTGTATTACTAAAAAACTTTAACGAACGTTTTGAATAGATTTTTAATGTTACAATGAATTTTATTTCTAGTAAAATAAAATAAAATAAAATGTTAGAATAAAAATCTTACAGGTATAAAAGACATATTTCAGCGAAAAAATTTGCATATTGAACAATATTTGATAAAAGGCTATTGCTGAATAATTTTATTAAAATGTTAGCTTAAAAAGATTTAAACTTTTTTTTAATCTGAAATTTTTCTACTTGTAAATAATTTGTAAATTAAGTGAAACTAGACAAAAACAATATGAAAAAATATATATTTTTTAATTATTTGATAGACTGCCTGCCCAACCCAAATCCTCAGTCGATGTAGCAGCACTCCGTTGCGAGTCAGGTTATTTATCAGTCCATGTAGCAGCACTCTGTTACAAGTCAGGCTATAAGATAGTCAATGTAGCAATACTCCGCGCATGTTTTACAGTTAAAAAAAAAAAAAATTTATTTTAAATAAAGCTTTAAAATAGAATATTAGGAATTTTTTTATTATTATTTTTTACCGACAACCGAGCAATAGCGCATACCCTTACATTTTGATGAAAAATGAAGTATTTTATAAAACTATTTAAGATAAATAAATATAACTATTTTATTGAAAATTTTTATGTAAAAAAAAATGTTTTTTTTTTGGGGAATATTTCCCGGGGGGATTTTTTCTTCGGGGGATTTTTTCTCAGGGGATTTTTTCCCGGGGGATTTTTTCATGCTACCAACAAAAATTTTTTTGCTTGAGGCAAATAGCCCTAGCTACACGCAAAATCAATCTTGGATGATGTAAAATTCACATCGCCTGAAGCTTTATCGCAAGGCCTGATACAACACCATACAGAAAACAAGAGTTTTCTGTATGGTGTTGTATTTCTTATAATGATCAAGACTTATTATCTTCAAATGATCAAGACTTATTATCTTTAAACTGTTGAGTGCGATAGAAGAAAGTTTAACCTTATAATGATCTACAAAATAAATTTTCTTCTGTGAAAGAGTAAATATAATATAGAATTCTCTACCTGATTGTATAGTTTATTCATCTTTATTTTTGATTTTTAAATTAAATTATATCTATGTTTTGTTTTACGTAAAAGTAATTTCTGTATTACCTTTTTTGTATATTTCTTTAATGCAAATAAATTGAAAATAAATAGAGATAAGAAATATTATTTCAATTTGTACCAAAAGGTTATTTTTACGTTTATGTACATTTTTTCAAATAACTTAATGAGCTTTCTTTTTCTTTCTAGTTTTCCTTTGTAAGCATTTGAAGATTATCTAAACATAATTTATCTCATCATTAGTTACTTTAAAAATTATGATAAAGCATTCTTGTTTTATTCTGAAGGAATTTTGAGCCATCATCTTCCATCATTTTCCATCATCTTTTCATTTTCATCACTCTTTTTTCTAAGCTTGGTCGAAGTCATTCAAATTTTGTTTTTTTTGGTTAAAAGTGATTAAAATTGGTCAAATTTGAATAAACTTCAAACTTCAAACTCAAATTTATTTCAATTTTGTCATAATAGTATCAATATTATTCGAAAAACTTAAAAAAAAAAAATAATAATTTCAACTTTAGAGAAACTATTTTTCAACTTTTAAGGAATCATAGCCGTGTGGCAGTAGTTCAAATTCCGCTCAACCACATTAGCATTGTTTGTGAAGTTGGAATTGGGAATCAACTAATTGTTTGATAATCACTGTGTCTGAGCTCTGTGATTATTAAGGAAAATATAAGACCACCAGGTCTTATAGTTTTTGTAAGAAAAAAAAGTTGAAAAAATATTTGAACAAAAAAGTGACAAAATAAATTTTTTATTTTTTTAAACTTTTAAAATAAAATTTTTATTTTATTTTTATTTTACAAATTTTTAAACAAAATTAATCAATGTAAATTTATGTTTATGTTAATGCATTGAATAATAATGGTTGATGGGGTTCCATCTCTGATGTTTAAAAAAACCCAGCCTGAATAGTGCTTGAGGACTAAAAAATCAAACTATGTATGTATATGTATATGTGTATATATAAATATGTGTATATATATATGTATGTATGTATGTATGTATGTATGTATGTATGTATGTATGTATGTATGTATGTATGTATGTATCTATGTATGTATGTATGTATGTATTTATATATTTACAGATATTACATCAGATATTATATATATTTTTTTTTTCAAATTTATTAAGGTTTGTTGAGACACATTTCTTTTATTTCACAAAGCAGTCATAAATATAATTTTTAATTCATTTTATAAACTAATTTGAGAAATTATTTAGCCATTTGTCAAGGTATTTTTTATCATTTTTTTCAAAGCAAGGAAGGTTTTTTTAATAATTGCTACAAATAACTTCAGAATTCGTTTTATTTTTTGATTTTAATGGAGACTAAGTACAAGAAATTGTGAAACAAAGAGTTAAAGAAACAAATTTAAGAATTAAAAAGGAGTTGGAATGTAAGGAGGCTTTGGCAGGTAGTAACACAATGTTATGTTTATAACAAGTCTTTTTAATTTTATTATTGATTTTTTTTTTTAATTTAGACTTGACACATAAACTGTGGATACAATAAACATTGTTATAAACATTTGTTAAAACAATTAGTCTCGTTTTGAAAATAATAATTCGGAATTTGAAAGTTATAGCCAGCTTTTTTTGAAGCTTTTTTTTTTGTTTTTCTCGAAGAAAAAAGCTTGTTAAAACTTTGTTTTGTGAAAACACTTATCAGTTATCAAAGTTAAATATTTTAAATGACCCTTCCCTGCTATTTTCCCCTATAATTCAGAATGTAGTTAAAGTAGAATGTCCATGTGTTTCCCCCTATTTCACTGTTTAGATGTAATATAAATTAAAGTAGAATATTCATGTGTTTTAGATACATACAGAAATGTACTTGCTGATCCACACATTCTTTTGAAGCCATCAACCATAGTATTAGCTAGTGTCGCAGGTGCACTGGCTGCTGGCAGAGGACGTGAGTAAAAGTTTTTATTGAGCAGTTTTAAATTTTTTTTGAAAGCTTTTTTATTTAAAGTTTTTTTTATTCAAAGCAGTCGCTATTTTTTTTGTTGGAATTAAAAATGAGTTTTTTTTTTTTTTTTTTTTTTTTGGTTTAATGTGAGGAGCCAAAGCGGGAAGTTCCAAATAAGAACTCACTTTTTGAATTTACAAAATCACTATTTGTTTCTGGTCTCTGGTGTCCAGAAGTTCTAAAATTGTCGACAGACTTATGGACTGTAATTGGAAAAAGGGAACTTATTATTTTTTTTTATTTAAAGTCATGGAACTTATTAATTATTAGCCCAGAGTCCCTGAGCGCCATTTTATAGACCTTTGCTTCAAAATTTCAATTGTCTTTATTTTTTTATTCAAGTAGTCAAGTATAAGTTTTTCAACATTGTTAGAACTTCTCTAAAGGGTTTAATGGTTTAATTTATTTATTAATATTGCTAAGAATTGTGCTTTTGTTTAAAAACTTTAAAAAAAAACGTAGTATATATTTTTTTTAATTGTGAAATAAGATGTGTTTATTATTAGGACGGCCAATCAAACGTTTCTTTTATTCCAGTCTTTTGGGTGTGAGTGGATCTGCTGTATGTTATCCTGAGCAAGCTCAAAATGTTGCTATAACCGCTTATTATCATAGTATAAACTCGCTAGCAAACTTAAACAATTTGTGGCAATCGAAAAGTGAAGAAAAAGCTGTACAACTAGATACAAAGGATGAAAATTATACCAATCAAGTAATATTGGTATCGGAAATTAGTAGTGAAAATTTGGTAAGCGATTCAGTTATACTGCCTAATGCCAATGAAATTGTTTTAAGTGACGAGACCTTAAACAATACGAACGATAAAAAGTTAGCAGAAGATAATGATACAGAAGATAAAGTGACTTTTATTCAGTTCTGGACTGGGATACCAGACGATTCTTCTATGGATAATGAAGAGTCTTTAATTTCTAAAGAGGTTCCAGAGGTAAAGAAAGATTTCGGCCAATCTGATCCAGAAGATCAAGAGATGTATAGTACACGTGCTCCAAATTGATAATACACTTTGTAGTTGTGAACACGATATTTAAATTAAAATTTCTTATTAATGCATGAATTAATACGCTAATAAGTTTGCTTTTTTTTAAAAAAAATTAAACCCAAACTAATATTTTATAGGTTATGTTATTATTAATAGTTATAATAAAAGTAAATTTCAAATATTTAAGTTTTTAAATATTAAGTATTTAAAACTTTAAGTTTATTGTGCACACTAGCTTATTAGTTTCACACAACGTAACATACTGTAAAGTTAGGTAATTGAGTACATTTTATGAATGTTTTTTTGAAATAAAACTGGAATGTAACTTTAAAAAATTAGACGTTATTTTAGTACAATGTAAGGATTTCAACATATATTATTACGTATAGATGGGCGCCAACAGGTTGTTTTTTTTTCTAGCCATAAACTTGCTTATGTCGAATGAGGAACCTTAAATACATATTTATAACCTCTAGACGAACCCTAAACACAAATTAATAACCTCTAGACGAACTAGTAATCTTTACACTAAAGATGAGTTGATAAAATTAATAACCTAAATGAGTTGATAAAATTAATAACCTAAAGCAATGAGTTGATAAAATTAATAGCCTAAAGACGAACTTAAAATAAAAATTAGTCTAGAGGGACTTTAAGCACATAATTTTTAATTATCTGCAGAAGTAAGAAGAATTCATCTTTTTTTAATGAAGTTGTTAGTGTTGTTATGACTTTTAAATAATTCGACTTACGCCTAAATCGACTAACATTTTCTAAACAACTGATACATTTTTGAAATCGACTAAAGGTCGATTTAGTCGAGTTATTGAAATAAATTTTTCTTTTTCAAAATAAATTGTAATAAAAAAAAATAAAGTAATTTATATTCATTTATTTTTCAACATCACATTTTTTGTCAAAAGTTGTGTATAATGAACACATAACATTATATATAAACTTATTCTTAAAAAGTACATTTATGAATAATCATTTTTTATAAACCAAAACTATTATCTTTTAAATTGCAAGCGTTATTAACGATACTTCAAAAAATGGTGAAAAACAGGAACGATTTGTGTCTAAAACGAAAATCTAAAAATGCAACAGTAATGAGAAATCAAGTTATGCTCTTATAATCTTTGCAATTAGTAAAAAATATAAACAATAGCACATTAACTATTTTCAATGAAAAAATATAAACAACTTTCATAAAAAATATAAACAACAAATAACAACTTTCAATAAAAAATTTCAAACATCGTTTTTATAAAGGAAATAGACAATTAAAATTTCTAAAGACAACTAAATATTCTCCTGTTTTTGCCTTGATGATATTTTGAAAGAGATAAATAAGTAATAAATAAATAAGATTTGGTGCTTAAAAATGACTTTTTGGATATTGATTCTGTAAGACACCTCATTTTATAATATATCATAAAATTTATAGCTGTTATTTTTTTAAATGATAAAATTTAATAACTTTCGAATTTAAGTGAAAGTTAAATGAAATTTTGAAATTTATACCGAATTTAACTGAAAGCCGAATTTTTATTTCAAAAAGTTGAAGGCCGAATAAATATTTGCCGTTCCTTAGAGCTGAAACTGGTGTAAAATTGTTGCAAAAACTAAAATTATTAAAAATTTTAATGCGTGTTAACTTAAACAATAAAAAGTTTTAATGCGTGTTAATTTATAGGATTGAAATATATTTATTTATAAATTTATTCACTTATCAATAACTTATATTTACAAATTTATTGAAATCCTAAATAAGAAAAATAATTCACAAAATTTCTTTAAAAATGCAGATCTTGAAGAGCATTTTTTAAAAAGAAATTTTTTAAAAAGAAATTTAGATTTGCTCGAGTATTATAATAACAAAAACGTCAGAATTTTTTTTAATATTATGTTTTAAAATGGATTTATTCCAACTTTAAATAAACCTACTCGATAAACAAAAAATAGTGCCTCTTTAGTTGATCAAATTATAATTAATAATTTCAAAAACATCAAATCAAGACTGAAATATAACAGAAATATCTGACCACTTTCTGGTTTTTATAACAACACAAAAATCGGTAAATCAAATTTCTGAAAGAGTAAAAACCATAAAACGAGTAAATCTCGTGTCGCTTCTCTTGCGACATTTATTAGCTTTTTATCGACGACAAATTGGGAATTTGTTTTGAAAACCAAAAATGTTAATGAAGCTTATGATTAATTTCATCTCATATTTCATCATATATTTCAGTGTCAATACAATAAAGCATTTCCAATAACAACTAAAATTAATAAAACCAAAATTCTAAAAAATTCTTGGATGACACCTGGAATCATAAAATCTTCTAAAAAAAAAAACAACGATTGTATGAAAAATTTTTAAAAAAGAACTTTTGAAAATGAAACAAAATATAAAAACTATAATCGTCTTTTTGTGACGATTGTAAAACGCTCTAAAAAGTATTACAATTGCAGCCAATTACTAAAATACAAAAATGAACTACAAAAAACTTGAAGCATAATAAAAGAGGTTATAGGTAGAAAAGGTATGAATTTTAGTCGTTTAACAAAAAAGCTAATTATAAATGACTGTGAAATTATTAAAGACGCAATAATTACAAATTTTTTTAACCATGCATTTGTTAGCACAAGTCCAAGTTTAGCATCAAAAATAAAAAAAGAAAACTTGCTTCAAATCATATTTAAATTCTAATAATAATACAATCGACAATAATATGCTAACAGAAACATATTTGGCTAATTCTGTGTACTTACTTAATTCAAATATAGCTAATGGAGTTGATGATGCAGGCAGTAATCTCATAATTAAATCAATACCTTATTTAAAAATTCCGCTTTTGCATATTTATGCTCTCTTTAGAGCAAGAAATTTTTCCTGATAAACTTAAAGTTGCAAGGGTAACACCTATTCTAAAATCAGGAGATGAGATTAGTGTCTCCGATTACAGACGTTTCTCCATACCATCATACTTTTTCAAATTATTAGAACACATTATGTATTAAAGATTGTATTCCTTTATAGATGCAAATAACATTCTTTATAGTAAGCAACTTGGATTTAAAAAGAGCTACTCTACTAATCAGTTAATTGTTCATCTTGTTTATGATATCATTAAATCATTTAATAAAAACAAAAATACATTATGTCTGTTTATTAATCTCAGTAATGCTTTTGACACCGTCGATTGTTATATTTTATTAGCAAAATTTGAAAACTATGGTATTAAACATAAAAATATTGAGTGGTTTAAAAGCTTTTTGTCAAGTAGAAAACAATACATTTCTTATAATGAAATAAAACAATCAATATCAACATAGCATGTGGGGTTCCTCAGGGATTTATAATGGGATCACCCATTTATACTAATGATATAGGCTAAGCTTGTACTGAACTAGATACAATTTTATTTGCAGATGACACAAATCTATTGCATGCACATAATGATATAAGTATTTTGTTTTCAGAATATTTACATTGTAGGTCAGTAAACAAAGAGCTATTTAATCTTACTGAATGGTTTAATGCAGATAAACTCTATCTTTCTAAATGTAACTAAAAAGGAATCTTTTTTTTTAAAAAAAAAAAAAAGATAATTAAAAACATCATCTAATAAAAATCAAGTTTTTGTTAAAAGAATTTTCAATGAAAAGAATTTGGAAACATTTAACGAGCAACTGTCTCATTCGCTGGGGATACATTGGCATTTTAGATGATTCCAGCCTGACTTACAATTTGATTTAAATGATGTTAATTTTCCAAAAATTAGAATAAATTGTAAATTAAAAAATATATTAAAAATGTCACTATTAGTTACTAGCTGATCGGACCTGTATAATACGGGTTTTTGTAAGTCATTTCCAAACCTACCTTTTCAACAACTTTTCCTTATATATATATATATATATATATATATATATATATATATATATATATATATATATATATATATATATATATATATATATATATATATATATATATATATATATATATATATATATATATATTTGGTTGCACCACCCTTGGCTTTTATAAGCGCTGCAATTTTATTTGGCATACTTGCATAGTATTTGAAAATTAACTGTGTAATATTCGGGTTATGATTCACTGGGGCACCCTGTCGTATAGCAGGGTGCCCAAGTTTTCATCAGGAAACCAGTCTTCTAGTTGAAGAATTAGACAAGTTCTTATAACTTTCTTGTACTGATTAGCACTGATTAGCTCGTCTATACATCTACAATGTATAGACGTGCAGATCCTTTGAAAGATATTACGCTCCAAACCATGACTTTAGACGGATGTTTGACCTTTTGTACCAGACACAATGTAAGAAATTTTTCTCCTGGTCTTCTTCTTACATAGCGGCAATTGTTGTCTAATATTTCCAGTGTTGATTCATCAGAAAAAACATATTTTAAACATACATACACATATACAGTGGATTACACAGGCTACTGTTGTAGGCTTACAATTATAATAATTCTAGTAATTTAAATTAAGTTTACTTTAATTTGTTTGTTGCTAATCAAATTTAAAAATTATTTTTCTGGACAGTATGGAAGTAATTAAACATTTAGACAACTCACTATTTTCCAGTCCTCCACTGTCTACGAGGCAAATTGTTTGGCCGCTAATAATCTTTTCTTCATCATTGCATTTTTGGTTTCTTTCTCGTTTGATATGCACTCAATTCAGCTTCAATTAATCTTTTTCGCACAGTTCTGCTACTCATCTAAACACCTAAAGTGTTCATTTTAATAATCAATCTGCGTGATGTCATCTTGCGGTTAGATTTAGAGAGTCTCGCCAAAGCTCAATCAATTTGTTGCAAAGAAATCTGCTTTCTTCCTCATTTTCTTTTATGTTTTAGAGTACCAGTTGAACGATGTTGCATGTTCTTTTTTATGCTTGAAACAATGCTCCGAGTCACCCCACATTTTAAAGCATGTCCAAAGTCACCCCACATGTCTAAGGAATGATATAAAGTATAAAACTTATTTGATATAATGCATTGTGATGACAAAAACTCTAATTTTTATATTTTTCTCAGTTATCGTAATAATTTGGCAGTTATATATATATATATATATATATATATATATATATATATATATATATATATATATATATATATATATATATATATATATATATATATATATATATATATATATATATATATATATATATATATATATATATATATATATATATATACATATATATACAAAAATATACATATATATATATATATATATATATATATATATATATATATATATATATATATATATATATATAAAATATAGCAAAAACGTTTTTGCTTGCTTCGGGGTATATTTATTTATTTTATTTCTTGTCTCCGTAGCAGCACCTTCTTGAGTGACTATTAATTTTTTATTTATTAAGTTTCAGACTGTCAGCTGCTTGTTAAGGACTATTTACCTGGACACATTAATAAAATAATTCTATCATGAAATATGCGCAACAAATTTCACTCGGTGTTTTAATGTTTTTAGAAATTTTCAGTTTTTTTAAAAATCTCTCCCTTTCAATTGTTATAGTATAATAATAATGTACACTGTGAAAATTGCTGAAATCAATTGAATAACAGAAGATGTTGGGCTGTAACAGCTATAAATGTTTTTATAATGTTTACTTTTTTAATGTATATAATCTTTATTGAGTTTTATATTTAAAAAAATTTTAAATTTAATAAATAATTTTTGTAATAGTTTGGTTTATCAAGTTTATTTTTTAATTATCAATTAAAAAATAAACTTGATAGCTCAGTTTGTTTTTTTTTCAAATAAAGTTTATTTTTTAATTGATAATTGATCAATTAAAAACAAACTCTACATGAAAAAAAAAATTAAATATAGCATTACTCTTACAGTACGCCTTTGTTAATCTTTTATTATGACCACGAAAATTGTAATGTTTTAATCGAGCTTTTCATATTGAGTCGTTTATCCAATTAATCTCCTCGTAAACGACGCTCTTCCAATGTTGTTAACTTCATTAACTGCAATTTTCTTTCATGTGGCATTTTTTTAAGACTGCAACTAGTTTTGTAGCTCTTCTTTGTACTTTTTCTAACTTTAAAATGTCTTGTTTCAAATAAGGACACTTTGCTTGAATAGCAAACTCAAGATGTGGTCTTACAAAAGTTGTATATAATTTCTTTACCATATTTAAATCAAAATATTTAAAAGTTCGCTTAATAAGAGCGAGCATTTGGTTTAATGTTCCTACAGCTTTATCAATATGACATGGCCATTTTAAATTAGATTGAATCATTACTCCTGAATCCCGTTCTACTTTTAATGTTGCTAAAATATTGTTCTGTTAGGTTTTAGTGTCAAACATTGAATAAATTATACATGGATTTTTAAAGCCAATGTGCGTAATTTTACATATTTTATAATTGAATTTTAATAACCATAATGATGACCATTTCATAATATTATCGATATCTTGTTGTAATTTATTTATGTGTATATCTTCATCTGATCGAATAATATTTATAATTTCGCAATCATCTGCATACAGTTTAATATGGTTTTTTACTGTGTCTGGTAGATCGTTAATAAAAATCAAAAATAGAAGAGGCCAAAGAATAAAACCCTGTGTATACAATGTTTTTATATATGTTAGGTATATAATATCTATAAAACTTCAAAGGTGTTTTATTTTGTATTTTAAAAAATCAAAAAAGATTAAAAAAAAAAAAAGTGGTAGGATTTGAAGTGCTAGATCAGGTTAGTGGTAGAATTTGAACCACGGCGCTTTGCATCTGAAACGCTGCTAGTAAGCCATTTCTGCCACTTTGGTGTAATTTACGGCAAATATCTCAATTATATTTAAGAAACAAAAGATTATAATTTTATCCGGCCATTGTCGAAATACAATGACCGGACAGAATCATACTGAATCAATAATCAATACTGAAGTCCTCGAAACTTCTTGAAGAACTTGATTGAGAAGATCCTCAACTGAGTTTAATTAAGGCACTTAAAAAGTGGATTCAATCATTTGAATTCATTGACTTGACTTCTTTCTGGTTGAAGGCTCTCCTATGTGTCAACGATGTCTGGCTTCTTTTTCAACCAGAAAGCATTTCTTTGAATAACGAGGCAAAATTTTACAAAGCTCTAATCGATGATCTTGACCGAGTACGCTTCGTTTGGGTTTCAAAATTATTTTTTTAAGAAGAGGACAAGGAAAAAAAAAACACTTCACGGCGAGTGGATGAATACAGCCCACTTCCACGAAGATGAATCAGAAGGTTTTGAGGTAAACGTGTTTAATGTTGCTCTTGACATGCTTTTCCAACAGATAAGATACAGAATGGATACAGCTCAAAAGACGACGGATATGTTTTCGTTTATATGATGTTCTTAACTCCTTTTAGCGATGAAGAAAAACTTGGTCAGCAAGAAATATGCAAAGTTCTGGCAAATTTCTACGTAAATGATGTAATAAAAGAGAAGTTGATTGAAGAAATCCGTCATTTAGATGTTCTGAAGCGATTTAATACTTTTGGGTAAATAGAATCTCTTTCTTCTATCAAGTTGCTTAACGTATCTACCAGAAAAGCCTTCAGTCAATATTAACTTCAATCTGCATTTTGCTTTGCATTTTTAATATAATCCCGGTTTCAGTGGTTGAAGGAGAGCGCTCTTTTAGTAAGCTCTCAGCAAACTCAAATTACGATCAACAATGATTGAAGAACGCCTTACTAACATTATGGTGATTTCAATTGAAAACGACCTTGCCAAGACTTTATCGTAAGAAAATGTCATCTCTAGTTTCGAAAAGAAGAAAGTCCGTAAATTGAAATTAGTGTAATCTGATTAGTCTTCATAATTCACATTTTATTAATAAAATATATAATTCCAATCATTTTAAATTGTATTTATACTTTCGTTTTATCATGTATAACCAAGTTTTAAATATAGAGTGTTTATGTGCAGTAATGGTTAATACAAGAGTAACTATTATTTTCATTAAATTTTAATGTGATAGTAGACATACGGACAATAAACAGTGAAATTCATGCTTAATTTAATATACTTAGGAATCCAAAGTTTGGGGCACCAAACAAAAATTGACCCTGGTCACCACAAAGTCTCTGTGCGGGCCTGAGTATAATTTATTTAAAATTGAAATTTTATTTTCATTTAAAATTTCATTTAAAATTGGAAACTTCTACAAAAATTTTGGCTGACCCAACTTGGTCAGCCAAAATTTTTGTAATAGATTCCAATTTCAAACGTAAACGTACATGTCAACTCACGTTTACGCAAAAAACGTGGTTGCAAAATATGACGTTATTGCCTTCAGCAGAATCCGTAATTATCGATAAGTATAATTACGAAACTAAAATCTTTTTACAAGTTTTCATTATTATCATTAAAATATTGTATTTGATAATAATCATTAAACCATTGCAAAGAATTGTCAAAATTAAGGGCCTATTTTATACTGGTAGAATTCTACTAAGAGGAAATCGTCTTTCACTTTTTATCGGAAATGCGTGACATTCACAATATGGGTGACCTCAAACTGATTAACTTATCTTCTTAAAGCGAAATAAGTAGTTAATAACAATATATTATTAGGCTATTTCACTATTTAGTTTTATTAGCTGTTTACTAGTAATCAGCTTACAAAATTAAAATACTTTCTTAAGTAGGCTGTTATTAATTAAAGTTATCTATTATATTATAGTAGATAACTTTAATTCATTTATAGAATAGATTATAGCAGTCCAATTTAGAACTACAGATAGAAGCCTATAACAAATAGCACTATTTTTTGTTTATTGGTTAGATTATTCTGTTTACTTAAAAAATAGTTACTAATTTAAATAAGGCTATTTGATAATTGTAAATTCTTTTTTCATCTTTAGATAAAAAAAGGTTCAACTATTTAAGTTAAATTCTGATGATATTTTTAAATTGTATTTCATTTATTAGATGGTAAACTTTTTACCATTTAAATATGTTTTTGTTAAATATTTGTTTTATGGATAATTTGTTTAATATATATATATATATATATATATATATATATATATATATATATATATATATATATATATATATATATATTATGTATATATATTTCAAACTAAAGATGAAATCGGCAAAAAAAACTAAAAAAAGAGGGAGAAGTGTTAGTCCAAAGTCAGAAGATAAACCAAAAAGACGTTATAGAAATGACCGGTCAAAAAAATGGCAAGCAAATTCTTCAGAATCTTCTGAAAGTAGCGATGAAGAAAGTATGTCAAGTGATGAATCTCATAAAAAGTAAACATAATTTTTATTTATTGCTTAACCTATAAATATAAATCATAATATGTTTTTAATGTGTGACTTAGATTTGATTATTAAAATTTAAATTTGTGTACAAGTTTTTTTTTAGCAAAAATCTACTATAAAAAAACATCTATTGGCAGTTTAAGTTTAGTTTATTGGTATTTAAATATAGTTAACAAGTATTGTTAAGAAATAAAAAAAAAAAAAAAAACAACATAAAAACTGTTGATCAAAATTTATTTTATTCATATATATTTTAATATTTGATTTAATTTAAAATTATCTAAAACAAAATCTAAAAAAGTCTAGTTGTCCTAAAAAGTCGTTGTTTTTGATTATGTAAAACATAATCAAAATTTTTATATTAATATTTATTGTAAATGCATACTTATATAATTTATATAATATAAATAAAAAAAGATTATATTCAATTTTCATTGACACTTTAAACAAAAATTATCATCATTAATTTGTTTCTTTATTTAAAAGAGTTTCTCTAATATAAAAACATTTGTAAAAATAAAAGTTTCAATGTTATTTATTTCTAACGTATAGTCCTAATAGCTGTGGTCAAATTGTCAAAACAATATTTTATTTGCATGGTCATATAATGACATGCAATCATGTGCCTTCCTGACCAAGCCTATATATGTACTGAAACCGTTTATATTTCTCATTTGAGTTATCCGTTATGATAATCAGTAGTCCAGTGTAATGATAGAAAATAATGAAGAAAATTTTTTAGATGTTAGACTACTAAAATATCTAATAAGAAATGGTTTAACTAAAAGTAAATTAATAAAAAAAGTGAAACATATCATGTTAAAAAATATTGTTAAGAAACATTTGACTTAAAAGTAAATTAAAGATGTGTTATCATTTTTGTCGAAGTCAATATCTGTATGTATCGTTTGTTTTTGTCATCATCTTAACAAAAGTTTCATTACAAGAAGCAAAAATGTTGAAAGCCAAAACTGCAAAGAAACGTTTTATATATAGAAAAATATTCTATTATTCTCTCACAATCTTCAATCAAATTTAATTTAGTTGAATGTTTAAGAGATTATAATTTTAATGTTTTGAAGATTTTTCATTATATTTAAAAGTTTTTTTTTAGAAAAAAAAAATTCCGCTTGCATCATTACTTGCATTCTAATGATGTTTTTAGTGCATCTTAATATTTTTTATTATGTTAATTATGTTTGACAAAGTTGAAAAAATTTATTTTACTAATAAAAAACAAAAAAGATTCAGTGGAGATTCAGTGTTATTAATGATTCAACTCTCCATTCACGTGGTTCAAAATGCAACTATAAGGTTTTAAAAAATGATACAAAAGCATTTGGAAATGAAAGAAAATGTATTTAAAACTCATTTTAAATTGAGAAGAAGCAAGCTTCAAAATGGAACAACAATATTTAAGAAAACAGTTGCACTTCAAATTATTAAATTGCAAGTCTGCTTCTTTTTATTAAGTTTAGTAAAATTATATAATGCACTGTAGTGTACTTATTGTTAAATGAAGTGTATACTACTTTAAAGTTTTCTTTTAAAATAAATGCAAGGAATAAAATCTTTATAGATCAAAATATAGCTTTATTAATAAACACACTTTTGTAAGTAACAAACTGTCTGGTCGTCCTGCTGGGCTACTGATAGGCATTTTTTAAAAATTTCAGTCACTCTTAGTGAAAACGAGTCATCCCGTGCCTCCGGGCAGCTATGAGAGTATACCCCTGATATATATATATATATATATATATATATATATATAATATATATATATATATATATATATATATATATATATACAGTGCTGGTTTAACCCAAGGACACACTGGACACGTGCAGGGAGGCCACAGAGTTTAAGGGGCCAGAGCATCTAAGAGAGTTTTTGAAAGATATATAATTTGAAAGAATAAATATTATCGGCCTAAACCCTTGACTTTCTCTAATACCCCAGAGATTTTCAATAACAGCGCATATAATGTATTGCAAACTGGGCGTTTTTTTTTTAATGCCTTGAAAAAACTTTCAAGTTCGAACATAATGGTGAAAAAAAAACAACTTTAACAAATAAATCAAGCAAATACAGAAACAACAAATAGTTATAAAAACAAATTATTAAAAGAGAGGATAAAAAAAAAACATAACAAAATTAAAAAAGACAATTGAATAAAAGTTAAAAAATATGTGAAACAAAAAATGAAAATAATTACAAAATCGTTATAAAAATTAAATTAAAAAAGATTTTCAAGAATGGAATGCGTTTTAATGATTCAGAATGGAATTAGTTTCATAATTTTTAATGATCAGAATGGAATTCTAATTCCAAATTGGAATGCATTTTAAAAGGTTGTTTGTGGATAATACTTTATTTTTTTTTTTCTGGATATTTTACCTAAACAGTTTTCTAGATTTTTAAATGTGACTAGGATGATCTATGATAAACACTATTTATTTATGTAGAAATTTTATATTAAAAAACCGGGTATTGGATTCCATTGACATTTGCAAGCTTAAAATGCCGACAAAAGGTTTTTTAAAACTATACTAATCACATCATGTTTTTAATAATAAATAATGTGAGATGCTTGTTTAAATACAAAAGAAAATACATTATAAAGCCAGCGCTCAAAATAGCAGCCAATCAACGATCAGTGATCGGGTACTTTTTAAAAAATTGACATTTTGATGGCCTAAAATTAAATCTGGCCAATCAAATTTGATCAGCAGTATTTGCTCGTCTTTAATAATGCTGGTCAAACTTCAATAATAATTTATAGAAAAACATTTAAATTAACATCAAAATTGTATTAAAATGAATTATATTTTAAATTTAATTCATTTTAATTTAATAACAGACAACTTATTTAAATTCTAAATAAAAAAAAATTGGCAAAAGAAACGTTTAACTTATTTTCTAAATGAAATAATTTAAATAAAAAAACAGCAAAATCAAAAACTGATTTATGTTTTATTTTAAACGAACATCTTTAAATAAAATACTTAAAAACAAATTAAAAACTATCATATTTTAGTTCTCCATAAAATAATTTAATTATATTCTAAATAAAATAATTAAAATAAATGTGGCAAAACTAATGTTAATTTAAATTCTAAACAAAATAATTAAAATAAAAATGGCAATGTTTTATTTATACTCAAGAAAAAACAATTGAAAAGAAATACAGAAAAACGAACGTTGATTTAAGTTTTAAATAAACAAACTTATTTTAAAGCAATTTGATTATGTAAGGTAAAAAAAAATAATTTAATTAAGGTTGCGACATGCAGAACCTCAATTAGTATACAAAAACAAAAAACTTCTTCCAAAGCTTTGTTTACTGATTCACTGATACATTCAAATGAAGTGAACAAATTAAAAAATGCAAGTAGTCTCGGTAACACACAAAAGCTAAAGTTTTATGTATTTTTAAAAGTTGGAAAGGTCACAAATCATTTGAAAAAAATACAAAAACAAACTGATTGAAGATGATGTCATTTTAAATGAATACCTTGGCGTTAGATCTGTTAAATTTAATGAGGGTGAAAAGGTGATGGCTTATTGTAAAGATATTCTAGGACTGGTGGAAAATATTGTCAAAAGAAGAAATATTTCAAGTGAGTACATTTCAAAAGTTGGCATTGATGGAGGAGCTAGATTTTTGAAAATTTGTTTAAATATCTTAGATCATTGCGAATTATCTAAAGAAAAGGTAAAAAAATTTAGTTATGACAAAGACATATGTAAAGAAAAATACAAAGATGGTGGGTTTAACAATCTCATTATAATTGCACTTGTAGAAAATTTGCAAGAATCTTACGCAAATATAAAAATAATATTCGGTTTTTGTTAATTTAAACAGTATTAAATATTTTTGTGCTTTCAATGTGAAGTTGGCAAATATTTATTTTGGATTAGAAACTGCAGCCTCAACTCATCTTTGCCCTTGGTATATAGCTAGCAAAGATGATCATCAGCTAATAATTACAAAAATGCAGAAATAAAATTAAAAAATCAAAGTTATCTGTTGTACCCTATCATAACTGTGTAGACCAACCACTTATTGATTTACCAGATAAACAAAGGTTATAAAAGTTCTTACTTCAATGGAGCTACTATTTCAGTGGAAACACCAACAAACCTCTTTAATTATCTTGATTCGTATACAAAATCTAAAGAATTTTATTTTAAAGCAGAGGAGTGTAATGAAAAACTGGGCTTTAAAAGACCAAGGCTTCAAAACTTCTTGAGGACAGTGTTCAAAACTTCTTGATAATATAGATATTTTGAACGATTTGATCAAGTCATCTTCACTAGATAATGATGAACATCTTCTTTTCATACCACAGGTATTTAAATGCTTGAGAGAAGTTAAAGTTAGTTGTTTAGCAATGACTTTAGAACCCGACTACAAAATAAAAATAAAAGATTATCAAAAAGCCTACTGTCAAACTTGGATTAAAAGTATCACCTAAAGTACATGCTTTAGTAAAATATAGTGTAGAATTTTTTAAAATGATGTCAAGTGATTATCCAAACAAAGATCTAGGCTATTGGAGCGAACAAGCCTCTGAATCTGTTCATTAAAATTTTAGTCAGTTCTGGGAAAACAGTTACAAGGTATCCAAATGTCACAAAAATTATTCAAAAAGATTGCATAAAGCTATTGTTACATATAACTCTTGTCATACTTTCTTTTCTAAAAGCCTTACTCATTAATGATATATATAATTTATTGTGAAAAGTAAGTTTGTAAAACATGAAACAACTATTATTAACTTGTTATGTTAAATATTTAAATATCACTAAAAACCTCAACAAAAAAACTAAAATTAAAACTCTAAGGACACGCCTTTAACGCCCTTAAAACAATTTTGAACTTTTTTTATTTATTCATATATATTAAAATCAAAATTTATTAACAAATTTCAAATATCATTCCAAATAAATATGCCGTTTAAAAGTTGTGACTTTTAAAGTTATTTTTTGGAGTTAATTTTGAGGAATAATAAACTATTAACAATAATAACTTTTTAATGAGAAGAAATTTTTATATGAAATTTTAAATCTGTCGATTAATTTTAACCTAGTTTAAGATATTATAAATTTTTTTTTTCATTGAAACCATACATGGGTCATAAGGATTCAAATTTTAGGTTTAATATTGTTTCCAGTCTACGATAGTTGCAATTTTTTTTAAAACATTCTTATTTTACATTAGTATGATTATTACAAAATTTTATGAAAGCACCATTTCTGGAAGTTATCTATCTTAAACACTAAAAATTCTGGACCAGCTTGTTTAACCCCTTTTATTTTTTTAGATATTGACAGAATATTTTCAAAATCTAGGTCATAACAGAACAAGGTACAATGGTTTCGAAAATGTAATCCGTTTCTGGTGTATTTTTTTTTTTATAAGATATATTTCCACTTGGGTGTACCCTACTCTTATCAAATAGGATTGGCTAGGAATTCAGAATATGTAATTTTGTCAAGAAGTTTTTTACCATTATTGTAGTCTTTTTTTTTCTGTATTAAGTGTACAACATGGATATTTTTTTCTATTGTGGAAGAACACTTTTTTTAGAATTTTGTGCTGTCTATGAACAGTTGCCATTGAGCAGGGTCATGCTTGTAAGTAAACAAACTAGTAACAACTTTACAATAACACAGATCATTACAAAATTCATTGTAAATTTCAAATTGTTTATGTTGTTCTTGTTACACACATGTCCAGGCATGGTCAGGAAGGCGTGTGATTGCACATCATTGCCAGAGCATGCATATAATATTTTGTTTTGACCATGGCTTTTAAGATTTTTTCAAAATTTAAAAGTTTGCTAAAAAAATTAAAATTAAAAAAAAACTTTGCTTTAACAAAGTAAAGAAATTGTAAAGAAATAAAAAATAAAAAAGCTTAAAAAACTAAAATAAAACAAAACAAAACAAAACAAATAAATAAAAATAAAACTGAGCTAAAATAAAACTACAAAAACTAAAATGTTAAATTTATTTAGCTCAAGTTTTTAATTAATACAGTTTGATTAAAATTTTTTTTTACTATTCTATTAACTATATTCATAGATAAATTTTAAATTTTATTGATTATATTGCTCTGACATCAAAAGAAAACAATTGCATCAGCAGCCATGTTGAATGACGTGATAACATTGCAAAGAATAAGAGGAAATCCTTAAAGAATTTTTGATAATTAAGAATGTTATGAGAAATTTATGAAGATGTGCCAAAAATGATGTTATTTTAATGTCAATGAAGAATATGTACTAATAATTTTGTCATGCATTGTTATGGCATCATTTCATTTTTTTTAAATTAAAAATGATTTGCAATAGACTGTTGTTCAGTTAGGTTATGTGGATTGGTTAGCTGTATCAGAGATAAAGAGATTGTATCACGCGAAGAAGTGGTTATAAAAGAGTTGAGATTGTACTACATGAATTGAATCAAACAAAAATTGAATCAAACAAAGAATTGGATATTTAAAAAATGCTAAAAATCTGTTGTGCTCAAAATTGTTCCAGCAACAATATAAATGCAATAATGTAAAGATTTATCTTAATCACTTCTTTACTTTTTTTGACTTTTATATTTGAATTCTATACAACTTTTTTGCCAAACTGTTTATAAAGAAGTTCTATACTTCTTTTTTCTAACTTTTATACATAATTTTATTTATGTTTATTTTTTATTATTGCTAAATTTTGACATGCTTATAAGTGCACATGCATTATAAGCATACAATGATACCACAAATTATCCATTCAACAATGCTTAAAACATTTTACTAAAGAAGTTAATAATAATAATTATAATAATAATAATAATAATAATAATTAATATTAATTTATTGTTTATTAAAGCTCAATTACTTAGAAATAAAAAACAGCGTAAAAAATGCTTAAATTATTAATTAATTAATAATAATAATAATAATTAATATTAATTTATTGTTTATTAAAGCTCAATTACTTAGAAATAAAAAACAGCGTAAAAAATGCTTAAATTATTAATTAAACTCGGAGGATGAAAAATAATTTAAACAATTTTTTAAAAGATTTTTTATGTTTACATTTTCAAAACATTTCACTGATTTATCATTTCAAATGGGGTGATAACATTACAATGACATGGCAACCGCAACTTAATCAATACAATAATATCTTAACAAGATTGTTGTATGAAATTTAATGTTTATGAATGAATATAGATTTAGTTAAGATTAGGAAAAGAAGTATTGTATTAACTTGTTGCTATTGCGTATAGGGCAGTTGTAGCCAAAATTTGAATGCTTTTTTGTACCCAGGCTCCAATTATTGCAATTTTTTACAAAGCATCTTTATTTGACATAAGAATATATATGTTTAGAGTTTGTTCCATGGCTAAAAGTTAGCTATCATAAGCATCATTATTGTGTGTCAAGTCCAAATATTTTAAATATTTGGACTTGACACACAATAAGTAACAAACTAAAATTTACCTTAATCAACATTAAAACTTAAACTTCAAAGTATTAACCTTGAACTGTCTTCATTTGTTCTGCACACCATGTCTGTTACCACTTATTGTTGGCAAACTTATATCAAAATTCCCTAAGTGTTGCTATTCAATTTCAAATGAATTTCCTTAATTATTAAAATGATTGAAAATTTTCAAGAAGTATGCAAGCAAGGTTGTGGTAGATTGGTTCAAGCTACACTTATTGTCAGAAAGAAACGTCAAGAACCTTGTCAATATTAATTTCAACAACATTAACACTGTCAATATAATCCTCATCACCTTCATAAATAAACCTTTCAGATTTGGATTGGATTCATCAGGTGTTATCTAAAGTGGTAATGAAAATGCTGCACTCCATATAATAAAAAAAAATGTCTCAAACAACATCTAATCTAATTGAATTCTAGAGAGGTGGAACAAGGGTGAGATTATCTTTGCAAAAACAGAAAAATGTCAAATTATTATAAGATTATAAAAACTCTAGAAACTTAAACCACCAAGAACCTACAAAGAAAGTTTAGATGTATGTTTACACACAATTCACAGGCGACAAACTTGTGAAGAAAGCATTAATTCTAAAATCAAGCAAACTGCTGCTTTTGAAGTTGTTTGATAAAAATAAACAAGACTGTATTCAAATCAATTATTTTAAAAGCTAGTAATCGAATTCGGGTTTAACAATACTGAATTCTTGAAATATTTGGGTTTAACAATACTGAATTCTTGAAATACAAGAATTCTTCTCTAAGTTTGCAATTTGTAACAAGTTGCAATTAGTTCAACGAATATAACATACAGGAAATCTAGAAAATCAAATTTTTGAAAAAATTGTTTGTCATTTTAGTTGTTTGGTCTTTGACTTTGCTCTTTAAATCATTGTGTTATATATGTGTATATATATATATATATATATATATATATATATATATATATATATATATATATATATATATATAATATATATATATATATATATATATATATATATATATATATATATATATATATATATATATATATATATATAGACACACACACAAAATGTACAAAAGTCCTGTTTGTTATATTCGTTATATATAACGAATTGGGGCCTTGCTTGTCAAGGTTCGTGTTTTGGAGTTAAAGAGTTGAGAGAAGGTTGTACCACGATTTACAAAAAAAAAAAAAAAAAAAATGAGTAGCCTCCTCAACTGTAGTGTACCCCTTGGGCCTTGGGGAGGTGAATAATTAAAAAAACAAAGAAAAACATGAAGAGTACTTTGCATATGAAGGGGTCACATAGATTAAAAACTGTACTGGTTAAAAAATACCAAATAAAAACTTAGCCTAGGAAGTAATATGATGCTAATAAATGTCTATTATTAAACCACTGTGAGATTGATGCGTAAATTTTTTTTTATTTGGTATCATGGCCATATGGGTTTTTTGAGCATTATTAGGGTATATAAAAAATGACATTAAAACTATTTTAGTTGATAGTTAGGGATACTTAATGATAATTTATATACATTTATAATCATTTCATTGGATTCCTTATTCCAGGCAGAAGTTCAATCAAGGTACAAGTCAGGTACAAATTTTTAAGTAAAATAATCAAATATTTTTAAAGTTGTTTGGCTTGAAACCTTTAAACGTTGTGATTGTAATAGTAAAAGTGGAGCATCATCAATATTTGCTGAAGATATGAGAGAATTTTCAGGATCTGCTTGGAGTTAGAGACTAAAATTTCAAAAGTCCTTTAAACTGTATAAAATTAGCAAAATCTGAGATATACATGCACATGTCTGCATACACACACACACACACACACACACACAAATACACACACACACACACACACACACACACACACTCACACACGCACATGTATATATATTTACATTTGCCGACTTTTTTTGCTGACTTAAGTATATGCATTGACTGAGGTTTCGGGTTCAAGTATAACATGTTGGTTAAAAATTTATTTTGACAAAAAATTAATTTGATTTTTCAATTAATCTTTTTTCTTCTTTTTTTAATAAAACTGTTAAAAGTTAACATCAAAACTAAATCACCAAAAAAGTTGAAATCACATGTAAATAATAAAAAATAGTTGCATATTTGAATTTCAATATTTGTCAAAAATAATTTGTTAATTTTTTAATTTTACTCTAATATCATTTGTAAATTTTTGAACATTATATTAATTTTTTGTTATTCTTTTTAATTTATTAGCTCAAAATACTCAAAGAAAAAGGATTCCTCCTCAGAACGATCAATTTCACCTGACTATTCTGTAGTAGAAAAGAAAAAGATTAAAAAAAGTCAACCAAGCAGTGAAGAAGAGTTGCAGAGCAAAGAAAAAATTGTTCCAAAAGTAAAAACAAAAACAAAAGAAAAAAGTCCCAGTTCAATAAAAGCTAATGAAAAGGAAAATAAACAATCGAAAGATAAAAAAAGAAGAAGCATAAGTACTGAAAAAATCAAAGCAAATATTAATCAGGTTTTACAAGAAAGCAGTAAACATATTAAGTCTCATAAAAAAGAAAAAGAAAAAGAAAAAAGTATTTCTCCTAAAAGAGAACGAAAGAAAGGAAGAAGCCAAAGTCCTCCAAAAAAGAAAAAAGCTAAAAGTAGAAGTCCATCTAGACACAAAAGAAGTAGAACTAAAAGTCCAATTAAAGTAAAAAGGAGCAAAAGTAAAAGTCCATCAAGAAGAAATAAAAGCAAAAGCAGAAGCCCATCAAGAAGAAAAAGAAGCAAAAGTAGAAGTCCATCAAGAAGAAAAAGAAGCAAAAGCAGAAGTCCATCAAGAAGAAATAGAAGCAAAAGCAGAAGTCCATCAAGAAGAAATAGAACCAAAAGTAGAAGCCCAACTAGGCGCAAAAAAAGCAAAAGTCCTATATCTAAAAAGCGAACAAAAAGCCGTAGTCCAACATCAAAAAGAAAGAGAAGTAAAAGTCCTTCAAAACGCCGAAGGAGTAGGAGTTTGTCTAGACAAAAAGATAGCAAAAGTTCAACACAAAAAAGTAACAAAAGTAGAAGTCCTTCTACCAATAAAAAAAGTTTTAGTAAAAGTCCAATAAGGCGTAGGCGTAGTAGGTCACCTAGAAATCGAAAGCTAAGCAAAAGTCTCTCTAAAAGCCCTTCAAGAAGTAAGAGGAGTAAATCCAGGAGTCCTTCAAAAAGTAAAAAGAGTAAATCTAAAAGTCCTTCAAGAAAAAGCAAAAGTAATGATAAGAAAAAAGTAAGTAAAACAACTAAAGAAGATGAAAATAAAAAAGAGAAAACTGGTAATATAACTAGTAAAGATGAAGAAAAAAAAGAAAAGTCTAGTAAAAATGAAAATAATGATGAAAAGATTATAGCTTCGGAGTCTAAAGCAGTTATTGCTGATTATGAAGAAGAAATGCGAAAGCGCAAAGAGCGAATAGAAGAATGGCGAAAATCTCGCACTAAAAAACCTGAGAATGATGCAGATTTAACTGCTGCTACTTTAGAGAATGATTCTAAGAAGTGGACTCTTGAAGATGATGATGAAGATGAAGAAGTTGCTGAAAACAGTGAGGTTACAAAAGTCAAAAAAGAAGATAATGACCAAGTAGATGAAAAATCAAGTGAGCTAAATGAAGAAAAAAATATAAAAGTAGAAAAAATAAGCGATGTTGAACCCAAAATTGAAGAAGAATCTAAAACTTCACTTAAAATTGATAATGAAGTTCAAAACAAAACTTTGTTAAAAGATGAAAAATCTACTTTAGTTGAAGAGAAAACAGATGAAGAAGAAGCAGAAGAGGACTTAGATCCTTTAGATGCGTACATGAAAAGTATTGATAAACAAGTTGGAAAAGTGACAGCGAAAAAAATAAAAAAGTCAGTACAAAGAAGTGTTGCAGAGACAGTTATGGTGGTCAAAACAGTGATTAAAAAGACAGAAAATGTAAAAGTCAAACCTGAGGTTATTGAGCAGAATCAAGATGCACTTGAGTATTCATCAGAAGAAGAAGAATCATTAGATGTAACAGCTGGTGATTTTTCTGAGGTTCGAAAAAAAAAAAAAGAACTGACTGTTGCTGACCATACAAAAATATACTATCCTCCATTTAGACGCGCTTTTTATGTTGAAGTTCCTGAGCTTGCTAAGATGACGCAAGAAGAGGTTAAACTGTATAGAGAAAGTTTAGGAGACATTCAAGTGCGTGGCAAAAGCATTCCAAAACCAATAAAAACATGGTCACAAGCAGGCGTAAGCACTAAAGTGTTAGCTGTATTAAAAAAACTTAAATATGAAAAACCAACACCAATTCAGGCACAAGCTATCCCAGCAATTATGTCTGGTAGAGATTTAATAGGAATTGCAAAAACAGGTTCTGGCAAAACTCTTGCTTTTCTGATTCCATTATTTCGTCATGTTATCGACCAACCCCCACTTGATGAAAATGATGGGCCAATTGCCATCATAATGACACCAACAAGAGAACTTGCTTTACAAATATTTAGAGAAGCAAAGAAATTTTGTAAACAACTAAATTTGACTGCAGCTTGTATATATGGTGGAAGTGGTAAGACTTTACTTTATGTTCATAAATATTAATTTTTCTTCTCTAATGTTAAAAGTTAATGTTAAGAGGTGTTTAATGTTTTTAGTATAAAGTTAATTTTTTAACAAGTTAACTTTTTAACAAGTCTGCTTTCTGTTTTTACGCTGAAAATGTTACTATTTGTGACATTGCTAAACCATTAAGTAATGTGAATATCGCTGATAATTTTGGTCTTTAATAATCGCTGATACTTTTGGTCTTTTCTTATTGTTACTATTATTTTTGTATTCTTAATATTAATCAGTAAGTACAGTATTAAAAAAAAGATTTTTTTTTCATTCAAATCCCCAGATGAATTGAATACTGTCAGTACAGTGATATCTTTGTATAATTATTTTTTAAATTTTTTTATAAATTTACATAACAATCTTGCAAAAGTTCTATGAAGTTTGAAATAAACAGAAATTTTCAAATCTTTTTGCATATGTTAATTAGCAGCTACTAAGGTGTCAGTAAGGTCTTCACCTGTAAGGTGTCTTAAAAGATATAAAAAGCATGCAAGTGTATTTAACAAATAATCTTTTTACAACACTTTAGTTTCTTATCTACCAGTGCAATCGTAAAAAAAGCAAATTAAAAATATTTTTTTTTCTAAAAACTTACCCTTTATTTAATAATTTTTTATAAATGCAATGAAGCTAAATGCAACCTAATAGTTTACGGTGTTCATTAATTTTATTTAAAAGTTTTCTTGGGGGATTGATGTTATTGTTAATTTATGTCCTTAATATTTTCATAACTTTTAGTCATAGAAAATTATGAGCCAACCAGGACAAAAAAAAAACTATAACGTATAAAGCTGAAATTTGGCACAAAGAATCTTTTTTTTTGAATCAAAGATTCAATTCTATTAATTCAAGTCAAGAATCTTTGGATGAGTGTAAGAAAAAGTGCCTTGATTGCACTTTGGGAACCTCCTCGTTGATGCAAAAATTAGGGCAATTTAAACACCCCTTAAATATGGTTGGTTAGCAATTTTTATGCTTAGTAAGAGTAATAACTTTAAAAGTGTGACAAAACTAAGTTATTGACACTTAAAAGTGTGACAAAACTAAGTTATTGACACTTAAAAGTGTGACAAAACTAAGTTATTGACACTTAAAAGTGTGACAAAACTAAGTTATTGACACTTAAAAGTGTGACAAAACTAAGTTATTGACACTTAAAAGTGTGACAAAACTAAGTTATTGACACTTAAAAGTGTGACAAAACTAAGTTATTGACACTTAAAAGTGTGACAAAACTAAGTTATTGACATTTAAAAGAGTGACTAAACTAAGTTATTGACATTGAAAATATTTTTAAGTATTAAAGAAACTTACTAAATAAAAATAATATGAAAATTTTTAAATTTTTTTGTGTTCTTTGCAAGTATGTCCTTCTTGGCCATCTTTTTTAAAATCTAATAAAAGTAAAAGTTGGTTAGAAAACAATTTTGTGAGTACTAGACTTGATTATTTTTATTTATGACAACATTTTGTGAAGAACCTTTGTACTTCTAATGTGTTCATGAGATTTAATTGGAAATAGTTGATCATATCCATATAATATAAGAGTAGCCATAACTTTTTTGTATGTAGCTAACATAGCTCATAGCAATTTCTATTAATCTCATACTTTTGTTCTAAAGAACTCTGAACCTCCGTCATAAGTGTCAAGAATCACAGGAGATGACTAAATTCTGCAATTGCTGCAAATCTTTAAAAAAAAGTGTTAAATTAACAAATGAATTCCTTTATATAATTTTTTTTTTACTTTTAGTCGAAACACCCAAAGATAAAAATTTTTTTAAAATTAAACTTTGTTTTATAACATAATTTGTAAAAAAATATTTTTAGTCTCGTCAATTGATGAGATCTTCACTATCGACTGACACAACACCAAAAGATAATGAAAGCAACACCAGAAGATCCTATAGATTGTATAGAAAAGATTCACATAGAAGAAGTTCCTATATTCTCAGCCTTCACCATTAACTGACACAACACCAGAAGATAATGAATGATTGCTATTATCTGTATTGAAATAATTTCTTAAAGCAAATGAGTCAATAAACATTTTGCAATCTTTATAACTACATATTAACCATTTCATACCAATTTCTGTATTGTTTTCCAGCTGAAGAATAAGAGATGGTCTTTGTCTATAGATTACATAAATTTTTATCAAACTCTCTTAAACTGCCATTGCATCTTAAAGATTGCATAAGGGTCTACTCAATAACAAAGTCAGAAGATAGACCAAAAATTACTGGTGCAAACACAGTTGTTTTAAACTAAAAACCTGCTAATGAAATAATATCAATAAGATCAAGATTTCAAAGCGTCAAATACTTGTTTATTTGTCTATTTACATGTCTATTTTTACATTTTATGTATTATTGTCTTTTACATTTTATGTATTATTGTCTATATTTACATTTGTCTATTTATTGTCTATTTACATAATATTTTCAACTTTATTTCTTTTTTTAATACAAAACTTAATTATTCCTTTCATAAAAATTCATTACATGAAAATGTTTCCTTGAAAACAATCTTTTAAAAACAAATGAAATAATGAAGTTTTGACGTAAACATATGATAAAGTTATCTTTTAAAAGCAAAAAATAATGAAGTTTTGTGTGGTCAAAACATATAATCTTTTAAAATGTGAATAATTCAAAAAAAATTGTCACAGTTCCTTTTCAATTATTGATCAACATAAAATTTGCTATCCAATCATTTATAAATTAGTTATTTTAAAAGTATCAAGTTTTACTGAAACTACCCCTAATGCAGTTACCAAGGTGTAATCAATGGGGATTTCAAGTCCAAGTAAACTCTGAAGATTAATCTGTTTCCTAATTATATGCCAAATTTCAGTTTTATACTATTTTGTCCGAGTTCAAGGATGTTATAACTAATTCTCTTCGGTTATTTGTTTGATTAAAAGGCATTTTTCTTTTTAAAGCCATTTATTTCAATTTCTTTTCATTTTTTGGATTACCCTATTTTATTCTTAGAAAAATAATTTTTTTGCTTGTTTGTTATGTAGGCTTTTTATACGTGTTACTAATGACAACATAAGTATAAAATGTCAAAACAACATCTCTAACTCTCACCAATTGATTTACATATGATGTCATTATACCTTTAAACATATCTTCTTTTTTCTAAAAAAACTAATGGGCTTAATAACACTAAAATTTTTTTTTTCTATTTGAATTACATCCTTAAATATAAAAAAAAACAGTGTAAAATAAATTCTTCTTTAAAATAAAACTTTATTTTTGGGATTATTTTAGGCATTAGTGAGCAAATAGCAGAGCTCAAAAAAGGTGCTGAAATTATAGTGTGCACACCGGGTCGTATGATTGACATGCTTACTGCAAATAATGGTCGGGTTACAAACTGTAGACGATGTACATACCTAGTCATGGATGAAGCTGATCGTATGTTTGATATGGGGTTTGAGCCTCAGGTATTTAATATATATTGAATTTAATGTAATTCGAACCTCAGGTGTGTATATATATATATATATATATATATATATATATATATATATATATATGTATATATATATATATATATATATATATATATATATATATATATATATATATATATATATATATATATATATATATATATATATATATGTAAATATATATATATATATATATATATATATATTTCCAAAGTATATATGTGTGTATATATATTTATATATTTCCAAAGTATATATGTGTATATATATATATATATATATATATATATATATGTAAATATATATATATATGTAAATATATATATATATATATATATATTTCCAAAGTATATATGTGTGTATATATATATATATATTTCCAAAGTATATATGTGTATATATATATATATATATATATATATATATATATATATATATATATATATATATATATATATATATATATATATATATATATATATATAGATGGCTCTAAATGATGAGTCACGTAAGATTGAGCAATTCAGAACACATAGAGCAAGTTATAATCATATATTAGAACGACCTACGCTGTACCCAAGGACCATCGTGAAGAAAATTACAAAAAAAACCTTTCAGCTTTAAGGTAATAGAACGAAGTACGATTATAAGGTGAATTTGGTGTAGAAAATAATATTTTAGGTGAGGTCATAGTATGAATCATCTAAAAGAGAACATAGGAACAATTGAGCTCAGACTAGGGTGGTACAAATCAACAATGAAGAAACCATTACCAATAACAAACTTTCTCATTATCATTGGACTAAAACTTAATTTTAGGACAAATCGTTGAATCGATAAATCATTTAGATAAGTATATGTTCAGGCTATGTATGGAAAATTCTAGTCATTGAAAATTAATGAATAATACTCACCAAGATTCGAAACAGCAAATTTAAAGATAAACAAAAAGTATTAATATTTAATAAATTAGGAAAATGTAAACATCTAAATTGTTTTATCGTTGTTAAATATAATCGAAGAGGTTTTTTAAAAATAAAATAACGATAAACAGTAGATTTAACGATAAGCAGCAGATATAATTTGTGTTATGACTCTCATTTTACAAATAAATTTTATATAAAAAAGTTATTGAATAAAAAGAATAAAATTTCTACATTAAATTGTGTTCACTCATATATTTATACTGTTGCTGTTAAGAACTGATCGTGATTAAGTGATGAACTGTTAAGACCTGATTGTGAATAAGTCATAAACTGTAAGAATACAGGTTGTTTGTTTGTTTTTTCCCGATTAGGCACGTTACTAATCGTTCTTTTTTCTCATTTTAAAAATTTAGAGTAAAAACGCAAATAAATGTTAAATAAAAATAGCACGTTTAGAATAACCAATAGATGGACTTTTAACTCATTGTTTAAAAGCCAAGATAAGCGCTAGCTATTGTTATAAATAACAAAAGCCAAACAATAGGAAGCATTTGCGTCACGTGGAAATATTTTTATATGATTATACATCGAAATGATAATATCTATCCAATTAAATAAAACAACTTTATTATGTAAAGTATTGTAGGGGAAGTTGGGGCACAGTGGATCGGATTTCTTTATTTTTTAAATTGAGCAAAAGTTAAAATATGTATTTTATTTTTTTCAAGGCAAAAGGATTGAGATATATATCCTTCATGATAATGATAATGATAAACAACACTAAAACCCAAATATTTATTACCTAACGGCTCACAGAAAAGTTTAAAGTCAGTTCTGTTATGTTATTCACTGTACCCCAGTACTGGGACACAGTGAATAAATGAACACAGCCATGAATTAATGATAGTGAATAGGAGCATAGCCAAATAACTTTGAGGCTGAGGGAGTAAAGACACTGTATACTATATTTTTGGCATACTTTTATTAATTAGATTAGTATAAAGTTGAAAAAATAGACATTTTGAAAATTGAGTAGAAAAAAAAAAGAATTTTATTTATAAGAAAACTTATAAAAAAATTAAAAAATTATTCAAATATTATTATTCATAACTTATAACTAATAAATTCATTTTCATGTTTGTTTGTTAAAGATGTATGAATTGAATGTTTAAGTTGATTAATGGGACATAGTGAATCAACCTATTCACTGTGCTTCAATTCACTGTGCCCATCACTGTGCCCACTGTCCCCCCATAACAAATTAAGTTTGTCTAATTTCTTGAAACATGAGTGTTGTTAAAAGAAAAGCTAAACTACTAAAGGAAGCATTAAATATCAATAATTCGAATGAAAAACTTAAACTTTTGAAATTACTTCAACCATGATCTCCATAACAAACATAAAGACAGTAAGAAAATTTACCTTAGTTAGCTAAAAACAAAAATTACCTACCAAAAACCGGTAGTCAAAAATTATGTGATATCAACTATAAATAAAGATGGCTGATATATAAGCACATAAAATGATTACATTATCAAGATGAGCAAAATCCTAATCTTTGAGAAAATGCCTCTTATTCACTGTGCCCCTCGATCTAGTGTAAGCCAACTTCCCCTAGTTAATATATTTTACTATTTTGTTAAAAATTATTCTATATATTCAATCACCCTTGTATAACTCCTGTATAACTATATATAAAAAATTATTTAAATCATTATTCTAACTCTACTTCTAAAAAAAAATTCAAATACCGAAAAATATTAAAACAAAGTTGTGAGAAAAAAATCGATTTGATTTCCGTCAAAAAAGAGAAGTTTAAATCTCTAAGAGATTAGCGAAATCTAAAAGTAGGAAGTAATGGTTGCCAAGTTCAATCTATAAATGATCTATAATATGACCTTCAACACATAGAAAATTCTTTTTACTTTACAATATTTATATAAGTATACTAAATATTGCATTTTTACGAAAACATTTTTGACGTCAAAGTTTTTTTACAAATAAGTTATTATTAAACAAAGCTTTCAAATCAATTAAAATATTTACTATCACATGCACAGTGGGCATGCGTCGTCCGGGGGACGTCCAGGAGACGTCTTCCGGACGACCTCTGGACGACGCATGCCCACTGGGATGAGACATTCTTAATTACTAAAATGCATTTATATTACCCAAAAGTTAGTGTTTTATGGGTAATAAAATGTTTACTAAAAGAAGTTTGTAAAGCAAATATGTCAGCTAAATGTCGGTTTATTTTGTAAAATTGTTTCAAAAAATGACGCTAAAAATTTAAACCCGCGTAGAATTTCAGTAACTGGCGGCGCTTATGATTTATAACAATGCGTTAAACGTCCGTCTATTTGTACGTCCTTGGTATGACATAAAAAGCTGTGTAACGGACGAATAAACTAAATTACTTTTATTTTTGGATTTTGGATTTGTGTCACAAAAACTCATTAAAAAAAACTTTTCAGCACTATATATCAATGATTATAGGGCATTCGGGAACGTGTTTTCCTATTTCACATGAATAAAAATGCAGAATTATCGCTGACCCTTTTTTGTATATAAATATTTATAAATTAAAGTTTAATTTATAATATGTTCTCTTATGTTTTATTAAGATAAGAATATAATGGAGCATATTATCTTTGTATTTATCTTACTTTATTTTTTATTTTAAAAATTTATTTAAATTTTATCAATAGTATTTATTTTGTTTGTACGTTTCAAAATACTTAAATATTTATTGCGTTCTGTCAATAAAAACACTTTTTCTTGATGTTTTAGGTTATGCGAATATTAGATAATATTCGTCCAGACCGTCAAACTGTTCTCTTTTCTGCAACATTTCCGCGTCAGATGGAAGCAATTGCTCGCAAAGTTCTTAACAAACCAATAGAAGTTCAAGTTGGAGGACGCAGTGTTGTATGTTCCGATGTCGAACAACACGCCTTAGTTATCGAAGAAGAAAACAAGTTTTTTAAACTTTTAGAATTATTGGGTGTATATCAAGAAAAAGGGAGCGTTTTGGTTTTTGTTGAAAAGCAGGAATCTGCAGATATGCTTTTTAAAGACTTATTAAAAAATGCATACCCGTGTTTATCGTTGCATGGTGGAATGGATCAATTTGACAGAGACAGTACAATAGCAGATTTTAAAAATGGTGTAACAAAACTGATGGTATCGACCTCCGTTGCAGCTCGTGGTTTAGATGTAAAAAACTTAGTGCTGGTATTAAATTATGATTGTCCTAATCATTATGAGGATTATGTACATAGAGTTGGAAGAACTGGAAGAGCAGGAAACAAAGGAACTTCTTTTACGTTCATTACGCCAGAACAAGGCAGAAACGCTGGAGATATTATTAAAGCTTTTGAATTAGCGAAATGTACTCCTCCGACCGATGTAATGGAGCTATGGAACAAATTTAAACTTGAAATGCAACTCGCTGGTAAGACTCTAAAGTCGAATTGCGGTTTTTCTGGTAAAGGATTTAAATTTAATGCTGATGAGGAAATTCAAGTTAGCGATGCAAAAAAAATGCAAAAATTTTCGCTTGGATTACAAGATTCAGACGATGAAGCTGAAGCAGCAGAGAGTGCGATGGACAAAATTGAAGCCGATCTTGAAAAGGCGTTCTCAAACAAACCAAAGATTGCTCTTGCTCCAGAGGTTGTTGAAGCGCAAAAAGTGAAAGCGGCTGAACAAAACGTAGACAAAGGAAAATTAAAGCAGGCTTCTCATATTGCTGCACTTATCAATAAAAAACTTCACTCTGGTCAAGTTGTTGATAGAAACACTCAAGCTACGGCACATATTTTACACGGTGGCGCTCTCGAATCATTAACAGGCGTAGGCCTTGCGAAGCAGTTAGCTGATAAAGTTAATGCCAAGCTAAACTACAAAGCAGTTGAGCCTGAAAAATCGGATTTGGAAGCAAAACCAAATAATGTGCGTTACGAAGATGAGATCGATATTAATGATTTTCCACAACAAGCTCGATGGCGTATTACTTCGAAAGAAGTTATTGAGCAAGTTCGTGAATTATCTGAATCCGGTGTTACTGTACGTGGGTTATATATTCCTCCAAATAAGAAACCTGAAGGAGATGAGAAACGTCTTCATTTATATTTAGAATCTTTATCCGAACGAAGCATACAAATAGCTAAAGCTGAAATAAAACGGTTACTTCGAGAGGAACTTATTCGTGCCGAGTCACATAGCTATAAGCCGCAACAACAAACTGGAAGATATAAAGTTCTGTGATTAAATATGATTTTTAAATCATTTGAAGAATTTAACTTTCATTGTTTTATGAAAGAAATCTTTATACAGATAGTGTTAAATCAATTGTCGATCGCAGTACACAGTAAAAAAAAAATACCGAAAAGTTCAAGAAAATTTTAAATAATTTTAAAATGATGAGAGAAGTTGTCGAACACGACGATTTGAAAATAATTAAAATTATTTATGAACTTTCGTATTGCGCATTTTGCTTATTGGAAAATTAATAAAAAAATAAAAACGTTTTGATAATTTTATAACAATATCGTATAAAATAATGTCAATAAAAAAATAATAATTTGAGATTATTTTCCTCCGTTGGTCTTTATTGTAAAAGCTGTCGAAATCTTTCAACTTAGTTATTTTCGCTAGTATCTTCCGATCTTCGTCTTTGAATAAATCTATTGTAAATTGCAATCTGTTTGTTACATTTTGAACAAGTATGGATGACATCTTTAAAAACATTCAATAGTAGCGGAAGGCACCAACAGCAAAGCCTTAACAAAATTTAACAAATTTAACAGAAAATTTAGTTCAGCGAGAAAAATAAAATTAAACAATTTTTACCATCGTTTTCGGCTTCTTTTTAAATGAGTTTTTGTAACGCCTTTCTGATTGCAATACGGACAAATTGTCAACACGGGTATATCTTCAAATTTGGTTTCCGTAACTGGCGGTGCCCATATAGATACTTTTCGACTGCAAACTCTGTTACTTGGACCTAGTATTGTTTATAATTCGTTAAAAATTGTCGAAAATATCATTTTAAAAGTTTAACCTTTTTACTTGTGATGCTTTTTGGATTTAAATTTTTTACAACTTTTTTATTAAACACTTTTTTTTAAGTATCATTAATTTTTAAAAACTTTCAAAATAATTAATTAAAGTAAGAAATTACACCATTTACGACTATAAAAATCAAATGTTGAAAATTTGAAATCACAAAATTAAAAATTTGAATAGTTAAAATTTTTTAGGTAATAGGTAAAAATAAATAAAGATTTAAATAGTGATTATGTGATCTTTGAAATTTTAAAATGGACATACACCGTAATGTCTGCGAGTTTGATTCCAAAGAGTACTCTAATTTTAAAGCGTTTATATGTTAAAGTAAATTTATTGATGCTATGTTTGAAAGAAAAATTTATACTTGATTGCGTTGGTTGCGGCTCTGAGATAGAAGATCTTGGTTTTGTTTCAGCTTTATCATTCGACAGCAGACAGTCAGTTTCTTTAAAATTTTCAGAAAAATCATTTTTTACTCGCTTTTTTTTCATTCCAATTTCAAATCTGAATAAAAATTATTGTCGTTAAATTAAAATCTATCTAAAGAGGAAATCATTACCTATAAACCAGATGCAAAAATAATGAGCACAAAAGAACACTAAAACATTATGTATTATATAAAGACATAAATCATGTATTTAATAATATATCATAATTTCTGATTGAATAAACTTAATTTAATTTTTAACAAAAAATTGAACAATTCAATTTAATATTAAATGTAACGAGAGACAAAATTAGATTTCATTTTTTAAAGAACAAATAATAACTAAAGAAATTATTTAAAAAATTTTCTTGTTGAACACTATAGAAAACCTAAAAACTTGTAATTAACAAAAAATTTAAACAGAAAAAAAGGATGGATTGGCATGTAGGCGCGCTAAATTTTTTTTTTTATATAAAGATAGATAATTTTATTTTCGACTCCCTAATGTTTTATTCTTTACTTTATTTTAAAAATGTAGAAAAATAAATTAGAGAATCTTTTGTTTTTAATCTCAAATTGTTTTATTTTTTACATAGATATATATAATCGTTTATTGGTACTCTCTCTCTCAGACATCTGTTGAATACAATAGACATGTCTAACATACAAATAGTAAAAACTGGAAACTTATATTTTATAGAACCGAAAATTTAAAATATATATATATATATATATATATATATATATATATATATATATATATATATATATATATATATATATATATATATATATATATATATATATATATATGTATGTATTAAGTTTCATTAAGTTAAAATCTTGTTTGTCACAATAGATGGTATATTTTATGTAATGGGTGTTATGAATCAAACTAAAAACAAAACTTTTAAATTAAAAACTAAAAAGGCCAATAAAGAAAGACTTTAAATTAAGTCTAGTTGCACAAACTTTGTATATATATGTACACCTAGCTACGCTTATTTCCAAAAAAAATCAGTTAATGTAAGTACACTTTACTGCGTCTACTCCTAAAAAATCATTCAAAAAAAATACATTTATTTCGTCAGTTCGACAAAATAAATGTATAAATTAAAGAAAACGAAAACAAATGAAAATTAAATAAAACACATATTAATGTAATATAAAACGTTAGTCATCATTATTGCTGTTTTTTGTTTTTTCCCCATATTTTAACTAAATCAACTTTTAGTCGAATTAGTCGACTTCAAAAATTTAACAGCAGCTTTTTCCTTCCTCCACTGCTCTACTTCACCATCAGGAGCATCTGAAATTTTCGAACTTTCTGGTATTACCAGGTCCCGAAATTCTGCGAACTTAAATATGTTTGGTAGCTTTTCAATCCTTTTTCACCTCTTTCTTGACTAAACACCTGGCTTTCTAAAATTTGACATAAAGCTCTTTTCTTAGCCCGTTGTCTTCACTGCACTCAAAACCTCCTTAAAGTGAGAGTTGTGTACCTTTAGCATATGTTTTCTGCAGAGAAACGAAAGAAATGGAAAGTTGAAAACAAAACTAATAATAACAATAGCTCCAAAGTATAATCCGGTATTAGATACTGTTTTGTTGCAACAAATAGCAAATACTTTATCTACATTTTCGAAGTGTTTTAGTAGAGTTAAAATTGGCTTAACTTTTTTACTACCTTTAAAGCTTGCTGATTGAGTAAACTTACTTTAGATCCAGATCTTAATGAATGGAAAATTGGATTTTAATTGGATTTTATTGCATTTATTTCCATTTCACCATAAAATCTTCTTTTTAGTTTTGATATTAACATCTCCCCTCTTACCCCCTCCCCTCCTCCACCAAAAAAACCTGGATTCACCACTGCTTACAGAGAACTTGATCCGTCACAGCTTACAAAAGTTTGTTCTCCATCTTTTAGAAGTAGATAACACCTGATTTCCAATTTAATGATTTGAGACGATGAAATGTCTACTTATTATGGAGTGTCAGTATTATATTTCTGACACTGGATCTATTGATAATCTCTGTTCTGGATTCATGTAGAAACAATATTTTCATACTGCTCCCTGTTTTTATGTTTATGCAGACTACTATCAAGTTAGTAGATTGAAGTCTAATCTAAAATCAAAATAGACTAGTTATTTATCATTAGTTATTGTTTTTCTTATACGTTTTGTTTCATGGTGTCTCATTTTTTGACACCTGGGGTTAGGGAGGGGAGATCGAATAAAATCTTTGTTGTGTTATGTTGCATAAAATTAATATTTTTTAGCGCGTTTATAAAAAAATTGAATTTTTTTGTTCTACCTGGGAGATTTTAGAAACTTAATATATCTTAATTAATAGTTTTGATAGTTGGCAGCTGTTTGATGGAAGTTCATTGATTGGGTACTTCAGAATAATAGCAGCCTCCTAGAACTCATTTTAATTAATACTTTAACTATTAGTTTAAACATTAGTTTTATCTAATGTTTTAACTAATTATTAAAGTATTAATACTTTAATTACTAGTTAAAACAAATTATGATTTTTTAAAACAAGTCATAATTTGTTCATATCTGTGTCACTAAAAAAATACATTTTACAAAATACATTTTACACAAGTTACATTATATGATATATTTATAAAGAATACATATTTATAAAGATATCATGTATATATATTTTGTATTTTAAACATATATATATATATATATATATATATATATATATATATATATATATATATATATATATATATATATATTTGATATTTTATATATATATATATATATATATATATATATATATAAAATATCACGTATTTTTAAAAATTAGTTTATTGGTCTCGCTGTTCAAAAAACTATTTTAAATCATATTACATTGAACAGTTAAATTTAAATATTCGACAAAAAGCAGGTAAAACAAAGTAATAAACAGTAAACACAACGGTTGTTCAATTTTGTTCACTAACTTCAATCCTCTTTGTAAATAAGGTTTCTCTAATTAGCCAAAAATATTGGTATCCTAAATTCTCTAGGAAAAATGAGCAGCAAAATTGTAAAGTTGTGTGTTTTGCATCAATCCTGGATAAATATATATATATATATATATATATATATATATATATATATATATATATATATATATATATATATATATATATATATATATATATATATATATATATATATATATATATATATAAATATATATACATATATACAGTGCCCACCCATGACACTGTATATATATATATATATATATATATATATATATATATATATATATATATATATATATATATATATATATATATATATATATATATATATATATAGTACATACCTTAAAGCCTGCTGCCGCAAAAGTGTGCCGCTCCATCGATTGAGGGTGGCATAAGGCAACAATATTTTCTTTCATTATTTCTAATTTGCGTTTTAATAATATTTCGCGAATTTGGTAATAACAGTGAAATCGGCAATTTTAAAGAGTTATAAGTGTTTAACATTTTATATTTAATTTTTTTTCTGTAATATGTATAGGCATTTTAACGACATTAACGTTTATCATTTTCAAACAAAATTTTATTTTGTTTTTTTCCTATTTAGCTTTTGTTATACAGACGGTTTATTTAATAGAATTATTTATCTGAATAAAAAATCAATTATTAATTAATATTTTGGCACCAATTATTCCAATTACTTTTATATATAATTTGAAGGAAACCCCCTCAGCAATTTTTAACAATAGCTGAATTTAAGGGACTATTCGGAGAATTTTATTATTTATCCTATCATTATTTTAAGTCTATCCTATCATTTATCCTATCAATATTCTAAGTCTATCCTGAGTTTTATCATTTATCCTATCAATATTCTGAGTCTATCCTGAGTTTTATCATTTATCCTATCTATATTATGAGTCTATTCATTAATCCTATCTATATTATGAGTCTATTCATTTATCCTATCTATATTATGAGTCTATTCATTTATCCTATCTATATTATGAGTCTATTCTGAGAACAACTTTTTAAATCTGTTTAGTCTGTTAAAGTAGTTTCAATTGAACTCTTAAAAACCAGAAATTATTTTTTTACCTTCAAATTTTTAACAATTCAAAACCTTTATTTGACAAAATTTTGTCAAATAAAGGTTTTGAACTGTTAAAAATTTGAAGGTTTTGAATTGTTAAAAATTTGAAGGTTTTGAATTGTTAAAAATATATAATTGGAGTTTGCTTTGTGTTTGGAGTTAGCTATTTCAAGTCACCCCACAGATCCACCCTGTTTTTTAGTACAATCATTATCAAAAATCTAGATCTTGATTTTTAATAATAACTGTACTGAAAAACTGGGGTGGATCCAGTATTTTTTGGTGTTTGAAATAGAAACTTCCAGACGTGAGAGCAACAAGACAATAAAATAACTATTTTACTATTCTTAACTAGACTTATATTCATCAATAAATTTTAAGTTTCAAAGTATAATTTCTCAGCAATTAAATAATATGACCTATACAAATAATACAGCGTTCAAATATTATGACCTATATACAAATAATACGTTCAAATAGTTTTTTTTGACAATGACTAAAAGACCACACCACATAGTATCTACACCACATCTAACTGGCTAGACGCTTTAAAGCATGGTTTAAGGGGTATTTCTGAATCACAAACTTCCAGGCCTTACAAAAAAACTCCAGCATGTAGTGATGGATCACGCCGCGGTTGCCTCAGCATGCTGAGTTTAATATTAATGTTACATTCAACTTTTCCTCTCATGAGAACTAATTACAGATTCCTTTTATACCGTAAGAAGAATACTTTGGCGTTTGGTTTTTCCACTTTCAAGCAAAGAAAATATCAACCTACGGAAATTTGATATCTATAAAGCGATTTTTAAAACAATAAAAAGCGAGTTCAAAAATTTTGATGTTATGGATTTCCCATCTTGGAAATATCGTTATGATTGATGAGCGGCGGGTTGTTTAAGATCATCCCTGAATCTACAGGTGGATTAAAAAAAACTGGCCGCATGACTACCTCGGAGTCATTAAAAGCCTAAACTAATTGTGTCTTT